TATAGTTTTGGTATTATTGATCCTGTCTTTCGAATCTGATCATAAACTTCATGACTGAATAACTGTTTGGTTTTCATTCTTTTAAGGGCATCAGTGAGCTGTTTTTTAAACTGTTCTGTTTTATTTTTTCATTGGTTGTTTGCGAGAAGTTTGCTTTATTCGACATTATGTTATTCATTTTCTCTATGTAGTCTTTTCTGTGTATGAGGACTATGCCAGCTTTTTTATCTAGAAGGGTTATTACAAGTTCTTTGTTGTGTCTTAGTTGATTTAATTCTTCCCTATGCTGCTTTATTTGGTGGTTGTGAACTTTTGGTTTTGTATTCAGATATTGATAACAGCAATGGATTATTGTTAATTTGAATCGCTTTAGTTCTTGTTCAGACGTTGGAGTTACATCATTAGTTTGGGTTACTAAGTTTCCAGATTGTCAAAGAGTATGATGTGTGTAGGTATTTAGTTTGACCTCGCAAAATTTTGGACCCATGGATAGAGCTTCTAACTGCGAATGGGATGAAACACCTGAAAAGTAGTTAAATACGAACTTTGAATGGTCATCAGGAAACGTTTCGCGTGCTTTGTGTGAGTTACGCAAAGCTATCCTACCACTCACACATATTGTCAATGGACGTGAACATTGAACGTTTGTTTATTGAAACTGGCAGCCATTGGTGGGCAACTCGAGGGCGCGAATGGTACGATAGCGTGCAAGTTGGAGAAAGGCGGAAAGAACACGAATAAAAGTACTTGATAACTTTATTTGTACTAAACATTTGTTTGTAGACTTTGTATTTTCTCTTCCTTTAATTGCCAAACAATAAAAATTCGTTCAAGGAATACTGGCGTTTTGCACTTAAATTTGAAATAAATACATAGTCTTTATCGGTTCAAGGCGTCTACGTTACAATAGAAACTTAGGGCTAAGTTCCCTGACACCTATTTTAATATATAACCTTACCATCCAACATTGAAGTGGTTAACTGAAATCCTTGGAACCGTCAGGGTAGAAATACCTTTTCATACCTTCGTGACACTTTTCAATCTGTCGATTTTATACAGGATAAAAAATGCTTAGATTAAACACATATGATATTTAGATATAGAATGTCTGTTTCAAAATGTTCCATTGATGGAAACCAAATGTTTCATAGGCTAATATATATACTGACAGTTTTCTACAGCTAAGTAGACACTGTGGAAATCGAAACCCGATCCGGTCACTTGCTACCCCCATCGGCAAGTATTTAGTCCTGGTGATGGAGAAGAATATTCTAATCTCCTGATTAAAATCTGAATGAAGAATAGATTTTCATCACTCAATATTAGCAAAACAATTTCATCAGTGTGGAAAAATTACCAAAAGCAAAAACTTATGATTGCGTGTGAACTATTGAAATGTAATTATAATTTATTTGATTTCCACCAGCTTTTGCAGGAAAATCATATGATGAAAACTAACGAAACGTGTTCTAACGTCCGTAACCAAGACAATGCTGTACATGAGCTTCGAATTCAAAGGCGGATCACCATTCAGCATCATTAAAACGAGGATTTAACAGTGCTTAAAAAGGACATTACCCGGTGCATTGTTGAGAATAGCGTTTTCTAGTCAACCAATACTCTTCAAAACCATGGAGGACTAGATCCTCCAGTTGTCCATTTATATGTGGGATTAATAATTCACTCGCTCGTGTGCAGCTAGGCATATCGTTCATTTGACGTAGGTTTTCTCCGAAAAGGTACAAGAATAGTATCATGCATAGTTAATAAGAGGTGGAAGTGAGGCATTACGAAGCGCGGTCACTGAACATCTGCTCGATTACGATTATCGCGACTCTGCAGCCTCAGTCCTTTAAGATTCCTAAAAGGTGAAAAGTGCTTTGCCCAACTAACTACCTATCCGACTCATCTGTATCGCTACAGTTTTGGTCATTGAAACAGAAAATCCTGATCTCTGTATACAACAAATCTCTTAGAATCAATAATAATTTACATTTCAAGGTTTCGAATCTGTTTGTGGGAAATCACTCGAAATTTCACGTCTCCTCTGTAACGTCATTCAGACCCATGCGATTTATCCTTCAAAGTTACTGGACCAAACTCAGCAGTTCCAAAATCTTATGATTTCTCTACCTATGCATAATTGAAGGACTAGCTTTGCATAATCAAAATGTTTTGTTAAACCCTCTTCTTTACCTTTGTCATACGTATTTTCATTTCTCTTTTGTTATATTTTACGTCTTGAATTCATTCCACTCAACTACTAAAGTAATCATCATCGTACTTTTGATTTTTATAGACAGCACTCGACCAACTTTTAAAATCCATGTACCAATTCACTTATTCAATAATTTTTGAAACTTTGCTACTCATTCGCTTCACGTCTACCCTCTCAATGCATCATTTTAATTATCTTAATTCTTATCATATGTTTATCGACTGAGGAACTTATAGTGCCAATTAATGCCATCTTTCCGTAATATAAATACTACTGTGGAGTTTAAAAATGAAGGCATTGAGAAGAGATATTTCTTCCTTTAACAGAAACTGTGTTTTTCCTTGGAAAATTGTGTGTATACTTCAAGACTTTTTTAATTTTATTACTTGAATTCATTGCAGTTCAATTTTTCAATTTCTTCGTTGTTACTATCACTTCAATTTTGATTTTTGGTAACAGTAGACCTATGTTCAGAGCTATTGTGCTAATTCACCTATGTAGCAATATATAAAAATCTTGTAATTCAACACCGTTACAACAAAATTTATTCCTATCAAGAGTATAATGACTAAGCAATGTTCGATACCACTTAATGCCATTTCTTCATAAAATAAATACTGCTTTTAAGCTTGAACAAGTCAGTTTTGAGTATGACATGAAGAATTCTACTCAGCATTTTAGTTTTTTATGTGGAGGAAATCATTCTTGTGAATATCATTCACTCATTGCATTCCGGCCTTGATATGTATGAATTGTTGTTATGTTTATATTTATATTATTATTATATACATTAATATTATTATTATATTCATTACTATTATTATACTATCCACTTTATGTTTGAAGCCCGAGGGCTCGAAATTTGAGCATACACATTACAGCATTACCACCCAATCTCAAAAGACGAATGTGGTGGAGCTTCATGGCTTGTGAACACCAAGTCCTCAACGTTTGAGCGGGTATCTGTCTTAAACTCTCTTCTTGCTAACTATGGTGGGCAAAGTTCAGAGATGCTTATGGAAAATGAGTCTCGTGCCTTGAATATAACTAGCTGGAGAGGAGTAGTTGGCTCAAAGTGATAGTCTGTCCTTCGAATATCTGGTGATCATTTGTCTACTGTAGAAATTGATCCATAGCTCAGTCGAGGAAAACGGATTCCCCAATATTTGTTGAACTCATAAGAAGTCTGAATTGTATTTTTCTGAGGACCATTTAGGGTGTACAGGCTTTTTCACTAAACATTCATTTCAGCAGTGATAAGCGCGAAACAATCGTATATGTGTGCATGCAAATTTGTTCTCTTTAATGATTACATCTTCAGTTGTTTATTGTTTATGTTTAAGATGTTTTATTTACTTTTACAGAATAGCGATTATAATGCAAGCAAAAAGACATATCATGTCACAGAAAAGGAACATGATCAACATTATTTCACCATTAAAATGATAAACATCAAATCATGATTTAGAAGCACCAGGTTTAACACCACTCTCAGGCATATCAAACAAACAATTAATTACTGTTATTTGTTCCATATTTTAGGCAACATTAAAGTAGTATACACAATGATGAAAAGGCAGTACACTAGTAACCAGAGGATAAAAGCTTCAACAAATTGTGATGGATACGGTGAAAACCACCATACTACCAGGTCCAAGTTGTTCATAAAGCCAAATATTAGCTAGTGATGCAAAGAGAAAAAGCAAAGACAGAATACATTAGCTGAAATTCATATTCAATAGTAATAAGTTAATACATTTGTGAGAGTCCATTACACTGATATATATATGCTAATTTACAGAATGAAACCTGAGGAAATAATTCAAAATTACGGTATCTACAGAATCATTTATCAAATAGTAAGTCATTTCTGATGCATATTATTTTCTACTTGACTACTTGTATAGTTTTCACAAGCTGTGCCTACAAAAGAATGCTGTTGTGAATAGCTTCCATCGTTCGCACTTATCTGGATTCATATATGAGTACCTTTCAGTGTGATGGTTTTTCACAGCTCGATTGTTATTATTATTTCTTTGAATTTCAAGTCGAACAGTTCATCTACAGTTCACCCTGTTCTCTGTAGTTGCCTTTACCTGGCTTTAGTATTTCCCCTAAGCTCACATTTCCCTCACTTCACACCATCTCCTGCGTATCACCCTTGAACTCCCTCGGAACTTGCTCCTTCCCATCGTTATTCTACTTGAGTGGTGCCAAGGCGCACAAAGACACTAAAGAGTCCATTGTGTGCGTTTGTATATCTAATTTATTCCCATTTTCTTCGGTATAATAGCTTAGTAAGACGTCCTCGTTGCCTTGACGCCAGAATTGCCTGCTGCTTATCCGTTCTGGGTGGCCATTTAATCCTCATTATGGAACAAAGTGAGTAACTGTTGATGACTGTTCAGTTACCCGTTAAAAAATCTTTTAGTGAAACGTCACATCAAGTCTCTCGACCAAGTAGAAGCATAAATTCTAAATTAGCGTTGAAAACTGTAGAAAATTGTCCTGTAATGGTGGTGACAACGTTAGGGTTTTAAACTATTCAGTTGACTTCACTAAATTCGAACTTCCACTAATTCGTAGGTATTGAACTAAGACGAAGCAGCTGCTGGTTCTGTAACGCATTACCAATTTGCGGTTAAACAAGAAACAAATGGAATTCTCTTAAATGAACTCTTGACTATTGCGGTTGTCGCATAAGTGAAAATATAACCGAATTTAGCCCACGGATAAACTTACACAGATTAGGAATAATCCAAAGATGATTGCCGACACAATGCTGAAGATCGATGTCTAAAACATACAGAGAAAAATGGTAAGTTCAGATGATAAGTATACCCACGTTTTGTTTGAGCGATCACACTCACATGATTACTGATATTGACGTATCATAATTACAGGTTAGGGAACCGTTGAGAAATCAAAGTGCACTGAACGGCCATTTTGTTGCAGTTTAAGAATCTTCAAAATTGAGCAATTTTTGAGGTTCAAAAGCAGCACTTTCAGAGTTATCGTAAAATCTCAAACGTCCTTTAATGCAGTGGAAGAGATTTCCAGTGCTGTTGTTGTTAGTAATTTTAATTTTCAGTCACAGTTATCAATAATAAATTCTAGATAAAATAAACCAAATTATCTTCATTTTCAATAGTTTAAAGCGTGTGAATGCTGCTAATATTCATTTATTGAATAACTAACTCAATAATTCACGTATAACCCACTCATGAACATTCAATGGTGAGCCAGTTGTTTATATTGAAGTCACGTATCTTTTAGTTGTTAGCAAATCCACTAAATGTCAGTAGGGTGCCTATAAATATCTAAAGAGCCTGAGTATTTGCCAATCGCAACACAAGGCACTGAATTCTCGTTGAAATGGGTAGCTGATTTTTATTCCTGCATCACATTTCATGCAGTCAGGATTCAACATCTTCCAATTCTCTATCGCACTAAGGCTGAATGCACAGTTTTCAATGAGTGATGTTTATGTCCACATATTTCAAAGCACAATAAGATGGATGACAGGTTCTATTTGGTCGTTGTTGCTGGAAAATATTCATTGGAATCCGGAATTCACTAGCTTTCAATAGATTGTTACTAGACTATCAATACCGAATTCTATTTAATGGAATAACGAGGAAATTCATTCATTGAACAGAGTTTTGTAAATCAGGTGCATTTATAGATAAACTTACATTCGGTTGTATGGTGACATTAAATATTATCAAGATGGTTGATAAAATCAAAAGGGTAGATGATATTGTGGTAAAGACAACTAACTGATCATCATCCATTGATGGTAATGTCAATGCCAACGCCACAGTCGTGATTGTAATCACAATTGTAAAAATCAGTGATATCAATCCATAGAACATGTCAGCAGTTCCAAAGCTGGCAGCCAAGCTAACGGACCACAGTAAAACCTACAACGAGTAAAATTGAAGGTACAATAATTTTTTAACAACTAGAAGCTACGTGAAGAACAAAATACCTTGAAATATTTCAATCGTGTGACCTTTTTGGTTTCTCATACACGGCCGATGAGCTCGATCCTAAAGGAGCGAAACAACTGCCTCGTGTTTAGGTTACTTAGACGGTACTAGCACGTAAGCATTACGGGTTGGTGTGAGTAATGTGTGTTTTGAACAATAGACGAGATCAGGCTGAATTCTCAAACAGGCATAAATAATTCGTTTTTTAGTTAATTATCATATTCCCGTCGATTAACTTGGAATATCATCACTCAATATGGAGTGCAGGTGAATCAAGTTGGCCAGCCCTAAATACGATGAAATGAGCATACTCTGAGTTCCTCTACTAATCACTATTTATCAAATCAATTCAAATTAACTCTCAGTTATCGTTGAACCGTACGTACTAGGTGTCGACATATTAACAAACACCGGACATTTCCGTGCCATCAATCAACAGAAACACTACAATTGTCCTAAAATCGGATAATAACTGGATTCCATTTTCAAAGACGTAGACCTCCTGGACTTGGAGGTATAGTGGTTAGTGCTTTGACGTTTAAAATCATGGGTAATCGACACTAGCCATTTAGGAACACCATCATTCACTGGATAATGCAAGTATATCCAGATAACCAGTTTCAAATATGTTCAAATGTGATTTCTTTAGGGTCCACTGTCGAACAGTGTATATGGATAAATTTCCACAACAAGGTGTAGTTGCGCATTTCCTTTTTTCGTGAACATAAGCGCAAAGTTAGCTTAATTGCATAGTTATACAACTAAATTAACACTTACTGTACTTCCAAGCAGCAAATGAACACAGAAGACGTTTGACAAGAAGTTTGTCATAGTTATTATTGGAAGTGGTAGAATGACACCGACAAATCTGAAATGAATTTGCAGACACCAGTAAAATAGACTAACCAACATACAAATAATTGAGAATGCTTTTGATATTTTGAGTTTAATTTAATACTTGTGCATCCGACCACACTCATTCCACCCTCTTTTGTCCTGATAACACTAGAATCTTGACAATGAATGGTTCAGCCGAACAACTCGGATATGTTCCCAAATCTTTCTCGCTAACTAACTCTAAATGTGTATACAAATTTGAATGTATCTGTGGTGATAAAATTATTCATATGGTAGAAAGAAGGACACACCATTAATTTTCTAAATGTGCACCAAAACGCCTGCGTTTCAAAGGTGTAGACGCTGACGATAGTAAAACTGGATACATCCTATCAATATCGTCCCTGAATTGAACATTATGAAATCTTTAAAAATTATCAACGGAAAAAATTGTTCAGTTTTCCAGGCTTTAACTGCAATAATCACAATCGAATGCTTGAGAAATGATTTAGGTTTCCACAAACAAGCAGTTGTCAGTCTTTTCTAGCTCTGGTAACTGGATCTCCTTTATTCTCTATTTCATTTGAATGCAAAATTATTTGGGTCCAACTAATTTGTGGTTTTATAAAGTGTAACGTTGTTTGTCTTTTCTTCCTGCTTTCTGATTTGAACTCACGGCATTTCTACTCTATGTATTAGTAACTTTTCTTCGTTCACATCCCTTATATTTAGTGTGTAACTCGTTTATCACTGTAAACAAAGACTGATTTTTCATTATAATAAAGGTCTTCGTTTTTGATGTGGTTGTGTTCTCTGAGCTGGATAGTTAATTTGCGAAGCTTTCATCACCCTACTAGGTGACGTCTTCAGCGCATACTTCAATTTGAAGTGAGCTTTTAGATTTACTTCCAATTCCACTACCAAATATATGAACAAGTTAAAGGAACACCTTTGAGATCGCCAATATCAGGTTTGATTGCAGAAGCAGTGATGCGAAGACTCGAGAACAAAATTCTACCAAAGATCAAACACAAGATTTGGATACGCTACGTAGACGACACATTTGTAATTATCAAAAGAAACGAGTTAGATAAAGCTCACAACCTGACAAACAACGTCTTCAACGACATCGAATTCACAAGAGAAGAGGAATCAGAAAACCAAATCCCATTTCTGGACGTCTTAGTCAAGCGAACAACAACAGGGAAATTAGAAACTCAAGTCTATAGAAAATCAACTCACACAGACCAAATCATGAATTACAACAGCAACAATTCAATAGCACACAAGAGGAATTGCATACAAACACTACTCAAGAGAGCCAGGACTCATTGCAGCACTCCCACCTCAAGGAAAATTGAAGAAAAATATCTCAGGGACGTCTTCCAAAAGAATGGATATCCACGGAATTTCATCAAAAGACATATACCCCCAAGCCAACCTATCAAACCCAAAGCCCCCAAGGAAAGCACAAAGAAAATCGCCTTACCATATATAAAGGATATCTCAGAAATCATTACAAGACTCTTCAAACCTTTAGGAATTGACGTCGTACACAAACCGACAAAGTCACTCCACTCAATTCTTTGTCAACCAAAAGACTCAACAGCGAAGGAAGATAAAACCAACATCATTTACAAAATAGATTGTATCAACTGCGAAAAACACTACATTGGCCAAAGTGGACGTCCCCTTCGTCTTCGTATCCATGATCTTAAGCTAACTGTCAAAAGACGTGATATCCACTCCCTCATATCACTACATACAGACAACCAAGGACATCAATTCGACTGGGACAACGTTCAAATATTAGACAGAGGAAACAACAAGTATGCTAGAGAATTTTTAGAAGCTTGGCATTCCAGTGAATCATCAATCAATAGACACATCGAGATAGACAAAATTTATCAACCGATAAGAAAGAAACCTCACACATAATTGGTCGGAGTTTGTTTTTTCTGCGGTTTCGCTATTAAATGGTTATAGATTTTGTTCCAACTTTAACTCTCTAAGTATGAACTATAAACGTGTAATTTTTTCTACTGCTTATCAAGTTTGTGGCCTCCTGTTTACTCATGTCATGTATTATTTGAAAGTACATTACAATGTTCTGTACACAAGTTAATAGTTTCTGTAGGCTGTAAGCGGCTGGTGAGAATTCAACGAAATAAACAAAGATAGTACCTTCATATCCTGCACAAAATAGTGTTGGTGCTTTTGTGTTTTGTTGCCCGTTCGTATTAGTCTGGTTGTGTACTGACTGAGTCAGCTGTTCGGTATATTACGTTTAGCAAGGCCTGGTATAATGTAGCATACCATTAGTTACACCAGACAGCTTACAAAGTCTCAAGTATGAAGATGGCGACTTTGCCAAAGATCACTGCTGAAAAGTCACATACATAATACCTCCTAAATTATCAGTAGTATTATTTACATATTAATAACTGATTAGGAAGGAAAGTGAACGCATTTAGTAGATTACTAAACATAAAAATGATCTTCTGATAAAAGGTACATAGAACTGAGACCACTTTGCACAATACTGGTCAAAGTAATCTAGGGAGGTCAGCTTTACACTCAGGCACATTTTGCGAGCAGCGGTAGTCTATTTTATTCAGCAAATATTCCCTGGAAGCTAAGCCTTGGAAAACAATCGTGTATTTCAAATAGGTAGTGAATCACTAAATATATTACTGAAAGTTAAAACTTAATATAAGCAACTGGAAAATACTGAGATCTAGGACAGGATGTTTTGAAATCTTATAATAAGTTCAATCTATATTCAGAGGCTTTCTTTTCTATGAAGTTCAAGAAACATAATAGTGCTGTTTGAAATTTCTCTGAAATGTTTTAACTATTAACATTAAAATTCTCTGTATTATAAGTGAATGTTTTTTGGTGATTTGTATTGGGAGTTAATTCAATAGTGGACAAATATAGATTAATAAGCAGGGAACTTACCCAATAACAAAGGTCATATGAAAATGATGCTTAAAGAAACTAGAAATTATTTGCCTGCAAATCAACATAATATTAAGTATTCACAATGGTAATTCGATCCTACAATTTGGTAAACAGGATAAGTACAGCTGTAGTCGTCAGTATCATAAACACGGCATCTATTAAAATCTAGAAATACGAAATAATCTCTACAACAAATCATAGAAGATATGCTTACCCAGATATAATATCTGAAAGGGATATCTCGTCGTAGTAGCTTATTCTTAGACGCTTCGAACAGCGTTAAATATTCTTCAGAAATTGACATGATTTTATTCTCTGAAATTAGACGAGAAATCTTAATATTATCTTAGTTGTGGATTTTAACAAATACAAAAGCTATAGTATTTTGAATAATAATGCCTAATAATTTTACTAGACACTAGATTCACAATTCTTTATCAGTTTCAAGAGGATGATATCTATTTTTTATATGTACGGATAAGCCTCAATCAAGTAAGCGATGTCAATACAACCTTATTTCCGCTTTGAATACACTCAAGTCATGACTGAGGTGACAAACTACCGTATATCGCTTGAATGGAAACATAAAAGGAACCGGTGAGTTCGACATGAATTCGAGGTTGACATCGAAGGCGATTTTGTGATGTGGAGGAGATAAGAGGAATGAAATGAAGATCTGATGATAGAGTATCAACCATGGGCACGGTAGTTTAGTATGGCTCCAATATAGATAAGATTTCATTTTGTTAAATCACATGGTGTTGTACAGTAATATTTACTAATGACAGTAAATATTACTGTACAAAACTGTGTGATATACCAAAATAAAATTTCATCCATAATGGAGATATGCTGCTGAAGCCCTATGTTCCACGCGGAAGCAGAAGTTATAATAATGGTAATTAAGTTTCTGTGGAAATGGGTGATTTACTCTCTATGAGAAACACCATCCAGTGAGGAGTTCAGAAAGGCCACTTTAAACCTGACTATTACTTTACCTGCTTAACGAGAATAATTGGCACGAATGTGTGTATCAAATTTTGTACGTTAAGCATATTCACCATAATAATTGAAATATTGAACTAAATAACACTATGGATATATTTGTAATTCGCATTTACATGAAGTAACTTCTGTCTTCGAATATGAGCCTTTGGAAATATTCACTTATTTTCTCACGCTTATATTATCATGAGTTTTCGATAAAAATTATTAACGCAATTTTATATATAGAGTGATCATAGTACGTTCATAGTGGTTTAATGCTATCACATTTCATATAAAATCACCTTTGTTACAATAGTCGAATTTCGTAACTTATTTTTGAATGCTGTACACACAAACACATAAAACTATTGATATCAAAGCAAAGAGTCAGCACACATTACAGAGTCTTTGTGTGCATATTTTTTATTAGCGAACGTTTTCAAACGCGAAAACAACAAAATATTGAGCGTGTAAAGGTTATAAGTCACAGGACGATGATTATTTCAATTCCACAAAGTAATTTAGTTTTAAATTAATGATGGAAGGGATTATCTACTGAGGTCAACGATTTCTATGGGATTGTCTACTTCCAAATAGGTAATCTGACTGGGAAACGTGGAAGGCTCATTTTTTCAATATCTTCCATACTCACTTCAATGTGCATCTCAAGTATCTGACTTAACCGTTTTAAAGAGCCGCAATAACTGCATTTCTGTCATCAAAACTGCGAAAAATAACAGCCCAAACATTCTTCGCAGCAACACTGTGTTTACAAGTCATCACCTGTGGTATAATTTCAATACAGGTGAAGGACAATCTACCGAGTCCAGCCATTTCAATGTGCATTTATAAATTCCACTTTTCATTTGCAGACAATTACATCATTAGAACGACTCAGCAAACCAACGTCACCTTCTCAAGTGATATCCAGAGAATTATCTTGTAGAAATAAGAAAATTTGTCGTTAACATGGCAGTAATTTTGAGATAAGTGTATACTGAGTGATGATGAAATAGGGTGATTAGAAGTCACAAGGTAGAAAAATCAAAATTTGGTATCCAAGATGACAAAGGAAGGATGATAATGTAACTGAAATAGAGACATTATGTGCAAATTCCCTCCCTCTACTTATTTAGACGTCCCAACTAACTTCGTAACTATCACACGCATTTCCTTTAGACTGTTTATCATTAACAAAGGACAAAATCAACATGTGACATTCAAACGTCCAACTATTTGCATTTTTCCATGTTTACTCTCGAATTGTAATGCTTCCCTTTGTGATTGTGTGCACGTCGACAATGTGTTGTTAAACGGTATGAGTTTGTTACAGTGAACAAAGGTCATTCTGACCCGTGACTGTCTGGGAGGATTCTAGGTGGGTGATTATTGTAGACAGAGCTATTGATGCCACCTAGTTAGAAATATTCTCCTTGATTCTAAGTTGCCTTTTACAGTTGGACTTTAGTTAACTAAGGTTGTCTTACAGTTCTAGTTTTGCAATGAGAAACCAGCATTTCCTCGTAGCTGCCTCACACCACTGTTGACATAAATTTTGGTTTTGATGTTATTATTGTTTATTGGAATCGCAGAAGTAATGAAGAATGATCGTCTTTTTCCTGCATTTAGATAACCAGTGATAGCGCATTCAACAAAATCTACTTCAATATTTTCTTAGGCAGCATATCCGAAACACTATATCATGAAGTGATTTCTTCATTAGTTCCAAGAAATGTAGAAGTACACGGACGTCAATGGAAATCTGGAATATTCACATTGCGTCACAGTGGTTGATACTTTACCACCGGGTAATCAAAGACATGAAGTCATGTATCTTATTCCCAGTTCAGCCTATTAAATAGTTGATAATAAATGTTGACTTTACACACAATATACAGATTTCATTTCAAAATTATGTTAGCCTTTAAAAGGTGCATATTCATCAGTTTTTCACATCAATAACTGATTTCATTTTTATGGAGGATTTCATCATGAGCTGACATTAGTTAGAGAACCACTGGAAAACCTGGGAATACTCGACAGATGTTTCTTTCTAGTTACGGACTCTCCACAGTACGTACCCACTAGGATTCGATGGTCTGCGAGATCGCTTTGTAACCAGAAGGTCCTGGGTTCGAATCGCGGTGGGTGCGTACTGATGAAGAGTCTCAAACAAAGACGGAACAGCTGTCCAGTACTCCCAGGTTTTCCAGTAGTTCTCTAACTGATGTCAGGTCATGATGAAATCCTCCATGCAATCAAACAAAATCCCTACAAAACGAATACTTGAAAATTTCTTTTTTAATCGGCACAGTATTCAAGAAGGATAAATATGCCATGATTTGTGCGGAAATGAAACTGTTGCACAGATATCACGCTTCATGGAAAGGAACAAGTAACATTGTAAACATGCGTGAAACGTATTTTGAAATCTTTAATGACAAGCTAATATATTGGATTTCATTAAATAGTAATAAGAGATTTTACACATGACTTATTCTTCCATTTTAGTCAATAATATTACGTCTTCTTACTAACTCACTCAATCATATTCTATTTGCTGTCTAATTAACCTTGTTTCTAAATTAAATTCTTCTTAAATTACCTAATGAATTATCTAAACTTGACAAACTTCATGTACACACAGACAAAAATAATTATACATAAATGCGATTGTACAGATACTCGAATGAATTCCCTGAAAAATGTTTATTCGCTGAACATCTTCGCTTAATCATGAATTCCACACGCTCCATCCACTATTTATCTTCAGAAATCTCAGTAAATAGGTGTCTCAGTGACAAATGCAATTATAAGCGCCAAATACGGAAGTATTTTAAGACGAAGACATGAAAATTACAACTGCGGATTATTTCTATATCCACATATGTATGAGAAATTAAGGTGGATTGACTTTGTGCAAGTCTAGATATCTCTAAGTAATAAATTCTGATTAGTGCTAGGAAAATAGTTTGGTATGTGCATAATAATGAACAAACACTTATTTGTACCACTGGCGTTCTGTAACCAGAATGTTCCCACATTTGATGTGATAGAAAGTTACTAAGGTTGAAGATCCACTCATTCAGAAATTATCATAAGACTTTATGTACCACATCATATACGTTCATTATTGCACCATCGTGTAGCTTCTTATGCAACCATGAGTATACATGTGGTCTGAAGAATAAAAGTACCAGTTTATACGTTTAACACAAATCCTAGTGATATCCATTCATGATTTCTTTCACCCTGAATTCAATACACAATATTCAGTTTTCTTAAAACAAACATATACAGATTCGCAAATGAACACGTAAACTCTCAATCTTACTATTTCGTCTGCATGTTAATTAGTTATCTAAATTAGTTGAAAGACTTAGGTGAATAAGTTGTAGAATTCACCCGGTGTTTCTCAAACATCAACATCGAAAAGACTCAGAAAAGCAAAATACATATATATGAATGAAATAATGTAATTTTTAAGAAGTGCAGAAATAACAATCGAAATCTACTAAGTAGGTATCAAACAACTGTTTTCTTCGTTGACTGAAGGCATTGTGAAATGATTACAGGCTAGGTGCAAACCAGACCATGTTTATTCATCACCTAATTATTACCACACCACTGACCATTTTCATAGAAACAATGACAAAAGAATGATATTAGTTAGATGCATTCCTTGTAGGAAATTCATTCAAAAGGCGAGCAATATTGATATAAGGAGGCATATGAACCGCTCTACTGTCATATAAATAATCGTTGTAATATATGCAGTGAATTCCAGAAAGTACAACAAGAAAGAAACGAAATAATGAGTAATTTGTAATTTAAACTCATATCACGCTACGCTATTCTCTCCTACAGATAACCGTTCGCACGAATCTATTCAAAATTCGCAACGGATAATTGACTTTATGAATACTGACACTCCGAAGTAGCAATGTTAATAGAGAGAAGAGTTCTGAAAAGACAGTTATGTAGTTCAGATGAGCAATTGTGATGTGAGCGTGTTTGTTCACTTGGTTGAAAATCTATCGCACTGTGAACTAGGTGCAGAGTATGTTCGCCATAAGTTCACTGAAATTCACTCCACCAGATCATCCACATTAGAAAACATACTACATCAAAAAAGAGCAGTTCCTGTTTAGATTCTGACAGGCAACACCACGCGTTACACATGGTTTATTCGTTATTCACTGATTCACTATTTCTTCCGATTGCTTTTGACAATGAATACTGGACATATTTGGTTAGTATTTCCTCAGTAACTTCAGAGCGAACTTACTTCAGAAATGATAAAAGTACTCTAAAACATAAGTCAGGTTAGTCACAAAGGAACGTCTCTTAATCGCATACTACTGAAGACTTGCGGATCTCTAGGAACCTTCCCACTGAATGTCAAACAATTGGAATAACCAGTATTGCTGGCACGCTTTAAAGCGTCTGATTCAATTTTGTTATTCTTTACTGATATGCACCCAACGCATGTTAATATCCATACAATTATGAAGTCAAGTATAGAAGGATATCTTTCAATGACAATACCAGTGAAACTATGGGAGAATGCAGTCCGGTTTTTGATTGAAAAAGTGGTTCTGCTATCGAAGAGGACACTCATAGCCATCATTCAGCGTACATATATTGTAGTTCATGTGATTTTTCGACGTTTCGTCCCCTATTTATATGTGAATTCCTTCAAATGCCTTCGTTTCCGACAATATTTTTTCCATAAACAAAAACTCACAGGAAACTACCAGAAGTCGTACAATTCAACACAGAACAAGCGAAGTCTGGTTTACCAGGAGCAAAATAACGTTGATTTGACCGTTAATAATAAACGTATTAACCTCTAACTGGATACAACATCAGACATCGCCACTGATTTCATGTTGATTCACCAAACAATGAGTATTGTTCCTTAAAGTAGCAACCTTTCAGGATGCTTTTCACCATGAGAACTGCCATGATTTTGATTGAATTACGTCACAATTGAAGAGGCAAACTCAATTATCTCAATATAAGATAAAATCGAATATGTTCTTCGTTTATTTCGTCCGTAGCAGACAGTTTTAAAAGTCTTGCATGCAACTCCTTCAACGTCAGTTGTGGTCAAGCCGTGAATTTGGATGTTTCATCTACGAGCTCGAGCAGAGAGTGGGGGGCTGGAAATGATAGAATGAATCTAAGTTGAAAGTTTTGCTGCTTTATCGCATTAGACA